CATATTGGCAGTGTGTCAATCGAACATTTATACGAATACGGTATATACCAATTAAAATCTCTTTTTTCCAGCAGGACACATCAACGCTTATCCGGAAAATCATGCAATTTTTCTTTACTCATTGGAGGTTGTTTCGAACGAATTTTCACTCAATTTATTTCCTTTTTAATCAATGAAAATAAGAACTCCGTACAAAGATTCTCTAAGCAAATGTTTTTCGTTGCCACGTATGACTCATGATGTGCTTTTCACCCTCATCAACCTTGTATCACCATTCAAAAATTCAATGACATTTACAATATTATGTATTCAAGAAATACAGTACATAATTACTCCGGAGAACGGATGTCTAGCTCAATTAAAAAAAAAAAGTAGATCGAAAATGACTCTGAAATGGTTGAAGAATTTATTTATTTCCTTTTTAATCAAGGAAAATAAGAACTCTGTACAAAGATTCTCTAAGCAAATGTTTTTCGTTGCCATGTATGACTCATGATGTTCTTTTCTCTCTCATCACCCTTGTATCACAATCCAAAAATTCAATGAAATTTACAATATTATTTATTCAAGAAATACAGTACATAATTACCCCGGAGAACGGATGTCTAGCTCAATTTTAAAAAAGAAAGGTAGATCGAAAAGGACTCTGAAATGGTTGAAGAAACGCTAATCACAACCTTAGTGTATGTCTGCACCACACAAATACTCTACATTATACGTTTCATGTTCCTCAAGGCCTCAACAGGAATGTTTCTACACCAAGGCACAAAAGGAAGCCAGGAATGAAATTAATTCCGAAGGCCGTTGCTCCAATTGCGTCCCCGGCAACAACCTGATCAATGAAATGTTCCGAAGAAGAAACGCGGGGCAAAAAGGGGGGGGGGGGGCTTCGATTTGCTTCTCCTTGACCTGTTTTCTTTTCCTCGTGCACAGCAAGAGTATTTTCGGCCCCTTTTCGTATGTAGAATATGTGTAATAAAACCTTCAAACGAAGATTGTACAGCGGGTAGTTTCATCGATGACTAGATGATTTAATTTCATGATGAAATTCAGGAAGAGCGACCTTGTCCATTGGTATTCTATGGTGTTCTCTGGTACGCGACCACACTGGCATAAATTAATTTACCACGTGATATATCCACGATTGTAAGCAGGTTTCACTCCATGCGAGAATTTAAAGACGATAGTAAATGGACACTTCTTCGCTTTTTTTCAAGAAGTGAATGAAAATTAGCAATGTTACCAGGTTTTTCTCACAGGAATGTGAACCGAGGGTTACATTCGGTAACAATCATGCGCTGAAAATACTCGCAAAAAACTATACTGTACTTCGAAAAATAGTAAACTGTACGTTACAGAAAAAAACTGGACCCGGTCTGAGGAAGTAAAGGAAAAAGCAACAGAATCCAGAAAAAAATCCTTGTGGCAGCAAATGATAGATATCCAGATTTCAGATTTTTAAAAAATACTTTTGAATGTAACGATTCACTCGTAAAACACGCAATTAATTTGCAATCATTCTCACGGCTTCAATTTTCCAAATACAGTACAGTGAAGGCCCCCGGATAATGGTCGCTTCGCATAGTGAACGTTCGCTCCAACAACTCGACCCACCCCCGAATTTTCCGGATGGTGAACTCTTTTCGTTAAATATTGAACAAATATATTCACGGTACTGCATCAAAAAATTTATTTCGAGACACAGAAAAATAAAATAAAATATTTCAAGGCATCTTCAAAAAATCAGCATTTTACACAGCTCCGAGACTCATCAGTGGTCTAGGAACAATTAATCATGCATCACGCTGGTCAGTCGATGAAAATTTTCGGACAATGGACGACTTCAGTCCATTAACCGAAGCATCACTGCAACATGAAATCCGACCTTCGAAAAGCAGAACGAAGGAGCACAAGAGAAACAGAGACACGGGATTCGCTGAACAACGTGACTAAACCAATTCACACGCTTTCAGGCGACACGTGGCTCCTTCCGGAAGTTCGTATTACGTGACTCAGGCGATTCATCACCAGAATCACACACACACAAAAAAAAGAGAAGACCATAATGAATACGTTGATTCTCCCGAAAATAAAACAGACGCTTCGAAAGTACAGTTCAGTACTTGTTAAGTAAATGTTGCAGAACTGTCGGGAATGATTCAAATACAGTACGGAAATTTTCACACCAGAATATACCCGTGATTCAGTATCACTCATGTAACCGTTACAGAAAAATCCACATACGAGGAGTTGATCAATGAAATGCAGAACGAAAAAACTGCAGAACACAGAAATAATTGCGTTATTTTTAAACACAATTCAATCCGTCATGAGGAAAGATAACAGGTACATAAACATTTTCTGCTCGCCCAGGAATTAAAAAAAAAAAAAATCCAGGGATTTAAATTTCTATTGTTTCTACTGGAATAACATTTTCCACTTCGTCGTCAGATTCCGGAAATAATCCAAGGATTGTCATCCGAATAAACAAAGGGGAAAAAAACATATCTTGTAGAATGCGCATTCAAACTTACGCAAGTTATTGAAATGCGCATCAAGACATTCTTACAACTTTCAAATTTGAATTACACGAATAACTCTCGACAATTCTAAGCATCTTACAGAAGTAGAAAAAGTTCTAATTCACAAGATTTCGCCATGCAAAGCGATGGAACTTTCGTAAAGGCCGTTTCCCTTCACAAAGACCAGAATACAAAAGAAGATGCTTCACTAATTTCAAAGAAATAAACAGTCATGGTTGTGAAATCCTTGAAATATTCGAGCAAATAATATCAAGACATTCTTACCATTTTAAAATTTGAATCAGACGAAAAATTCTCGACAATTCTAAGCATCTTACATAAGTAGAAAAATTTCCAATTCACGAGATTTCGCCTTGCAAAGCGATGGAACTTTCGTGAAGGCCATTCCTCCCCCCTCATTCACACCAGCTTGATGTCGACAAACAAACGCTGGTCGGTTTCCGTGTGTCGATAAAAGCGTGATGAGAAAAGCCGCGTCGCGATAACGTGGTTACACATTCTACGCAGCGATTCGAACTTGAAGGACGAAGGAAAAGGGAACCCACCAGTCTGGGTGCTGAATGATAACCAAATTATGAAACAGAACAGAGAATCGAACCTGGGAAACGAGTCACAATTAAAATCCGGGAGGCACTAGAAAGAAGCAAGACGACAAAAAAACGAAAGCATGCAGCAAAATACTCCTTGTATTAAATTTAACCTCTTGGTGATTTTATTCTTCAACCAGACCTTCGCAACTTGGCAGTGATTTCGTTTTTTTTTTTGGTTCTCAGAAATAAAAATGGATAAGTCTCTTCCTCAAGGAACAATTTACTGACAAGAATAAACTTCCCATTTCATCGAATTCGACTTAGTTCAGCGAAGACCTGAAAACGAATCGAAAGGATAATACCCAAACTTTTCTACGGCGCAAAGAAGAAAAACTCAATTCCTCAGATGATTAATAGAGTGAATAATGTTTTCAATTGATAAGCATTTTTTCAAATTTCCTCCAGGACTTAAATTTGAAAAAACGATAAACTTCAAACTTTCATGTATTTTATCTAACAAAAACGCAAGCATTTTCTTCGAACGAGACAACAAATAAATTTTTGCTTTTCCTTCTCTCTACCGGAAAACAGATATGCTTTCCTCAATGGCAACAATTCATCTCGAAAACACAAAATGAATAAAATGTCGCAGCTCATTGGAATTTGCTCAGCTGTACGAAGACCAGAATCTGCGAAGACAAAAGAAGATGCTTCATTAATTTTAAAGAAATAAACAGTCGTGATTATGAAATTCCTGAAATATTCGAGCAAATGATACCAAATTTTATTCGTCATTTAAGCTTTTTAACTAATTATCCAGTGCGTATTTCCCTCCGAGAAGAAAAATTTTCTAGTCCGGCGAGCTTCATAACACGCCGGCGGACGTCTGCCAAGCAAAATTTCGGCTCAATGAACTCAATCCAAATTGGCGCACACTGATGAAGAAAAAATTTGCTCGCGAAAACAAGACACCCGAGGGGTGGAAAGGAAAAACAGACACCCCCCCTCGTACGTCTGCCAAGCAAAGTTTCGGCTCAATGAACTCAATCCAAATTGGCGCACACTGATGAAGAAAAAATTTGCTCGCGAAAACAAGACACCCGAGGGGTGGAAAGGAAAAACAGACACCCCCCCTCGGTGTTTCGACTTCCTCTTCAACATCAGGGGAAAAACAGGCAAGCGGCAAGTCAACAGCCTAGAAAACACCCCAGCGACGACAATAACATAATTCATATACTGTACTTTCCAGTCATCTTTTTTTTCTCCCCCTCTCTTCTTCTTCTTCCGTTTCCATCCAACTCGAAAACAATAACAACGATCCTTTTGAGCAAGAGACACCAGGCTATTGATCTAGATGGTGTTCCACACAAGATGGCCAAAAAAGAAGAAAAACATGTAAAATAAATAAATAAATGTGAAGAAACGCGGAGCAGTTCGACGAGGATACAAACACACGGAGAGCCAGACTGCAAAATAGCGGTGGAAAAAAAAAACAGCACAGTCGGACAACAATTTCCCCCACACTCGAGATCCTCTCGCATTCCGCGGTTTTTCCGGGGCAACAATCGATGTCATTTCACATACAATTTTCCAGAGTACAGTACAGTATAGTTTACTTCTTTTTCTCGAGGAATTGTAGCCTAGAATTACATAAGCACACCAATATTTCCAGAGTGTTTGAAGGGGTTTTCTGTAATTCCGAAAGCGGCTTTTCGGCTCCAGATTTTCAACTTCCGAACGGGGGAAATTCGTAGAGGAAACAAAACGGAAGCCTCAAAAATTGCTGGAAATTCGTGCGAAAATGCAATTTTTTCTCCGAAGACAGTTCCGAAGAATATTCCACCGCTCAAAACGTTCATAAATCGATTCATGAAAAGCAACATAATGGCTAAGTGGTCCAAATTCACCACGGAGTCACTCAAGTGAGTTACAAGAAGCCAATAATTCGTCCCAGTTCCCTCGGAAACTCCTTTCATAAAGACTCAAAAAAAACAATATAATACAGATGGACTCTCTCTAAAAAGATTTTCTCTGTACAGTATACAGAAACAATCCGGTCCATTGAATCAAAACGAAATTCAATCTGTAAAAGAACACATTCAATCAAGGATAAGGGCGAACCTCATACAGTATTAAATACTTCAAAAATGGCGCTAGCAAAAATCAAATTTCCTACGGCGGCTCAATATTTTCCGAAGAAAAGATTTCACGCCATTTATCATACAAAAAACTATGCCCACACGACCTGAAGTAAAAATCTCCCGAGTAAATAATAAATCATTATATTTGGCATAAATTGTTCGAGGTAAGACTTGAAAGTACCGTACAACTACAGTACTTGAATCTTCTAGCAGTGGTTCTGTCAAAATCAAAACTTCAACGAATTTTCGGTTTACCCCGACTGTCCCCCAGATAATCACGGTAAACACACGTCATTTTCCTGATGGAGAAGATTATGCACGGACTTCTTCCCGCTGGTTTTCCTAAACATTCCAGGGCAATTCTCACCAGCCACGAGGACAAACTGTGTGTGTGTGTGGGGTCGCCCAGTCAAATAACACGGGTGAATAACCAACACAATTTTGTTTTTACTTTTACCCCCCCCCCCCCAACTCCCCCATCTTAAAGAAAACAGTCTTTCACTTAATTACCCTCCACCCCAGGGAAGAAGGGAGAAATGAGACGGGAAAAATCAAAAGCAAGAGGGAGACTCATAAACACGCGCATGAACAGGCTCGTGTTGTACGCGCGATCATGCGAATTTCAAAAGACTGCTCTGGAAAAACTCCCTTGGAAAGTTCAAAGGCACGCCGACGCTGGCTTGTGAAGAACATTTCAAAAGATATTTATTTTTTCGTTTCGAAATAATGATCGCTTGAAAAATTACGACGATGATGATGATAACTTTGGGGGTGAAACCGCCTTCAAGTCGGGACTTCTTCAAAAGCATACACGCGTCACGGTTTCTTCAACAACAAAAAAAGGGGGGGCGGAGGAAAATTTCAATATTCCGACCCAAAGAAGAGAAAAGAAATATCTAGAAAAACTAAGCAGTCAGTCAACCGTCATTATTTTGGCATTCAATATTATTGGCGCGAACAAACATGCCAATACAAACGGCGGCGAAACAAGTGTTCCTTTAACCAATAACAGATCCGCTCCGAGTCCAAGTTCTCATGAATTTTTCGTTTTGTCAAAATCTTGAATTTCTTTCAAAAAACAATGTACAGTAATACAGTATACAGTACTACCAAAACTTTCCCCCTAAAACCTCTATAATTCAAACTTCTGGAGGCATTTTGGCTATTATTTTGGGGACCCAGGAAAGAAAACAGCAATAAAAATGCAACTTGATACTGTACTTTTAAAAGGGACGTGAGAGACTAATTGGGCAAATGAACCCTTGCTTCCAAGTTAAGCATCCTGTTAACTCATTTACCCAGCAGTTGAAGGAATGCCCAGATACATTAATATTTCAGAATTCCCTTAATTTCTTCATACTTGAACTAACCCCAAGGAATAAAAGGAGCTCCGTTCCCCCAAACTCGAAATTGTATTTTTTTTTTCGCGCCAGTCCCAATCGGAGTTTAATGTAGGAATGGTTCGACCATTCAGTAAAACAGTACAGTACAGCACACATACACAAAAAAAAAAACACAGGGAAATTATGCGTGTGGTAAAGAGACGAGAATACTGTAGAATGAACCAACTAACCTGAGTGTAGCACCAGTTCTCGGCGACGGGCGAATTGTTCTCGCCCTGCGGCAGGGGGCTCGGGACCCGCGTGCTGAGCGCGGACATCTTGTAGGGCTGGGCATAGGCCCCGGGGTTTTGCGACGACCCGGCGACGGCACTGGCCCCGCTGCCGCACACGACGCCGTAGCCCGAGCCGGCCGACACGACGCCAGACGAATTCCCGGCCGCCACAACAACGCCGCCTCCCGAGCCCGCCACGGCCACGGCTGCAGCCGCCGCCGCCGACGACGACGCGGCTCGCGGCACCGGCACTAGTCCCAGTCCGGGACTCGGCTCCAATTGCACGACGGGCGCAGCAGCTGCAGCAGCAGCTTGGGCTGCTGCTGCGGCGCCTCCGCCGCTCACGGCCGCCACGGCGCCGCTGCTACTGGCGCCGTGTCCCGAGTTGGTCGCGACCCCGACCCCGACGCTCACGGGCTCCACCTTGCCGAGCCCTGGGATCACGTCGCCCCAGCAGGGCAAGGGAAACGCCGTCGCTCCCCGGCCCGAGACCGTCACGCTGAGCACCTCGCACGTCACTCGCTTCCCGTTGATGTGGTTGGAAGTGGTGCTGGAGGTGGTGCTGCTGCTGCTGCTGGTGGTGGTGCTGTGGGTGGCGTTGTTGCTGCTGCTGCTGCTGCCACTGATGATGCTGCTGCTGCTGTTGGCAAGAAGCTGCTGCCCAGCCCAAGTGGACGCCAGTCGCTTTTCCAGCGCCACGATCTCAGACAATGCCTCCGTCTTGTCCAACTCCACTCCTTCTTTCGCTCCTCTCAAGTCTCTTTGCTTTTCTCAAGTTTTGTCGCCTGCTCCTTCTGATTCCTCTTCGTTGCTGTCTTTTCTTTTCAAATTTACTCTTCTTTCGGAAGCAGCAACCCTTCAACGCGATCACAATGACGAGAAGCAGTTAGTGACACCAGTGACGATCATAACCCTCCGTGTTTCTCCACCGACACACACGAAACCCGGAGAACCTTCCTTCTTTCTCTCTCTCTATATATTCTTTTCAGTTTTCTTTTTTTGTCTTGTGTCTCTCGACAACAACACACGAGATGACACCACAATATCACCACACGTCGTTCTTTCAAGAAGGCCTGACGCGCGCGCGAACGAAACTATCTTGAATCCGCACGGCCAGCCTGCAAAATAAAACGAAAGCAACAAATTTGTTAGAAACTTACTGTATATGAAAAAGTTTATCTATAATACAAACACACATGGACTCTCTTCAAAACGAAATTCAGGGGGGCCAAAAAAGATTCGACGCAGAGAATTTCTATAATATGGGTAGAGATCCAATGGAAATGACAAATAAAATCTTTACACAGTCCTGTAAATATTAAATTGGGAAGAGAGAGAGTCAACCTTTATATAAAACCGCGTTTCTTGGGAAAATTAAATCTTTCAGCTCCAGTAAAATATATTTTACAAAAGGATACCCTGCAGTGAGCAATTCGTAATGAATAAGACAAGTCTCGACTAGTCATGCTAATGACATGGATCATCAGGAAAAATTTGCATGAAGGCAATATAGGTACAGTATTACATTTTAGACTGATTTTTTTGAATTTCAAGTCGGCGTTCGAAGGAATAAATTGTTTGAAAATCCCGTAATTTTCCAGATTTTTCAATATTATCCATACGATAAGACGACGTCGCAATTTAAATTTCAGAGCACACCTTCAGAAATCCGGTACTTTTTTTTCTAGGAAATACAGAGTTCGGAATGTCACCTTGCAACTAGTACTATGAACTGTTACCCACCAAGACGTACTTCCCATGAAACGTTTAATCCCTTTTTTGCTGTTGCTAAAATAATAGCTGGGGTTCCAGTTAGATTGATGGGAAAACTAATTTACGCGTGCACGGAGTCGTGCTTGACGCAGACCGAAATTGTTCGAACTTCTCATTCAAGCCACACCGAAAAATGTTCAAAATTAGGTCATGGGAAATCATCCAGAGACTAATTGTTCTTTTGCTAATATTTCAGAAAGCCTTGCGTGTCTAAAGTGCTCAGAACAATCCCGCAAAAATAAACAGCACGAAGCACGAACATGTTTTTCCCTTGTTGGAAAAGGAAACTCGGGGAATCCTTGAAGCTATCTTTGTTATTCTATGCCAAAAAAGAGGGAGACGAGAAGGAAATACAGGTGGAATACACACACAAGAAACTCTCGAGATCTTCATAACAAATGCCATGAAAACAAGAAAATATTTACAGCGATGACGCGAAAAACACGTTTATCGCCAGAATATCGGAATGGTGTCGGAAACAGCATTCGCGCCTCATCATCATGTCGTGCACAATTGACGTCATGTCGACGTTTCGATGTCGATTTCTCAATTAATTCCGCTTTTCAAATCCACGAATGGCTTCAATTAACGAAGTTCAAATCGTCATTTGTTCTCAACACACTTTTAAAAATCCTCGTCAGGGGTCAAATCTATAAAAATATGTATCAGTTCCAATAACAACTGTCGAGAAAAAAATAACTTTTTGCCATAAAACCAAAATTTAAAATCTTTCGATTAAGTTCACAAATAATAGATTCAACACTGCAGAGGTCTCGAGTTCTACATGATTAAAACTTAAGTACGCGGGAAAGTTTTCGTGCTTCAAAAATAAATTCAGGGTAAACATTCAAACACAAATCGATACAAATACAACTGGAAAAAAAGCTTCGGTGCTTTTTTTATTCACGCAAAAATTGTTTGAATTCCGTTTCATGCCGTAAAAAGTAACGGATAGACCCGTTTTTAGAAACTCTCGAGATCTTCATAACAAATGCCATGAAAACAAGAAAATATTTACAGCGATGACGCGAAAAACACGTTTATCGCCAGAATATCGGAATGGTGTCGGAAACAGCATTCGCGCCTCATCATGTCGTGCACAATTGACGTCATGTCGACGTTTCAATGCCGATTTCTCAATAAATTCCGCTTTTCAAATCCACGAATGGCTTCAATTAACGAAGTTCAAATCGTCATTTGTTCTCAGCACACTTTTTAAAATCCTCGTCAGGGGTCAAATCATGAAAATATGTATCAGTTCCAATAACAGCTGTCGAGAAAAAAATAACTTTTTGCCATAAAACCAAAATTTAAAATCTTTCGAATAAGTTCACAAATAATAGATTCAACACTGCAGAGGTCTCGAGTTCTACATGATTAAAACTCAAGTACGCGGGAAAGTTTTCGTGTTTCAAAAATAAATTCGGGGTAAACATTCAAACACAAATCGATACAAATACAACTGGAAAAAAAGCTTCGGTGCTTTTTTTATTCACGCAAAAATTGTTTGAATTCCGTTTCATGCCGTAAAAAGTAACGGATAGACCCGTTTTTTCATAGAAAATGAGACAGAGAAAATCTTACGGAAATTCTCATTGTAATAGGATCTTTCAAAAAAAAAACGCCACCAAGGAAATTCTCGACTTTCTTCCGCGTACAATTTACCGTATTTCTGTTTCCACATTTCCTACACAAAATGGATTCAAACAACAACGCATCACTTCTCACATCTGATTATTCCGAATCATCCTCGGGGGGAAAAACTAATTTGAAAAATCCCGACTTTCAAGCTTGGAAATTGGCAACATTTCCTCGTACTTGAAAAAAAACTGCAAATCTACTTTAAATACTTTTTCACAAGAGCTGAAGTTATTCGTCAATTTTCCTTCGCTTAGAAAACCGCGCCTTTTTTTCTCGCAGTTAGAATTGGGTTAACTATTATTCAACTGTCGAGGATATATTTCCAAATACTATTCAGCACTTTACTCGATCATTTTTTTTTTTCGATTTCAGGGCATTTCTCACGATAAGTACGAACACGGCTGATATGTTTAATAGCTCAGTCGACTCATCAATTCAACAGAAAATGGAACTCGTAAGCAGTAACATCTCCCGAGGTTCATTCCGTTCGGCCGCTGGTCATCAAAATGCAAGACCCCACGAGGGGAGAACCGGAATAACGGGATATCTGGTTCAGCACTAAAACAAAGCTAAAAATCCGGACACATTACCGAAATGCCCCTTCTGGGTACTAATAAAAACGGGTTAACATCGACGTCCACGTTTCACCTACAAATTTCTGAACGCAAGAAAAAAAGGAAATCAGGGCATGACACAGTGAGCTGTGCATCCTTTTAGCAACATACAGTTACTTGACCATGTGCATCGCAGCAGCACAATCTAGGGCTTAAAAGAACAGAACACATCTGAGATTGGGATGAAAAGTATGCATTAATTCGAAATTTAAACGGGGTTTTACCTTAATGAAAGATACCAGCAACTATTAGCACCGCCACAAAAAAAAAATGACGGCAGAACCAAAGATTTTCTTCTTAGTCGAAAAAACTTTTCTGGGAGATGGAAAACCCAAGATTCATTTTCGATTCCACTTGGAACGGATTACATTTTCAATTCAAGACCAAATTCCTACCTACAAATTTTCCAACAAATCCGAGAAATAAAGGTGGCATACAAAAACTAACATACACTCACTACTGTACCAGAAAGTATTCTTCAGAGGTTGGAAACGCATTTATTTTTCGGAACGACATAATATCCACATAGAAAAATAACCCTACTCAAAAAATACTTGTCCGCCATTTCTCACATTAAAATAAACTTTCGAGATATTTTGATTAAAATTCGTATTCAAACCCATTTAAAACGAATTTAATGATATAACGATGAGTTTTTCTCGGTCCCGACACCTTCGTTAAAATTATATTTTACTGTATTGCATATTGTACATTGAACACAACTTAACAACTGCAAATTTTTATTATGAAAATACCTTTCTTTTTCAGTTTGAATATGCGGAGAAATACAAGAAAAAAATGTCAGCCTACAGCAGATAAAATTTAGGTGGCAAAAATATTCGTCATGGAGTTTTTCTTTTTTTGAGGAAAAGACTTCCTCACTTTTCTCACATAAGATTGTACTACAGCATTGAAAAAAGTCAATCCCTCAACTCCTTCTTTTACCCGTGTCTCACAGAAGAAATACACCATACACAGTATTTTCATTAAAACAGAAACAATACTGAGTAATCTTCACGAGAAGGTTTCCTTTTTTCCTTATTCGTGGTGAAATGAAGAAGAAATATTCGTATCCTCCTGCACCACGTCTTCAAACCGCGAGTTTCGCAAAAGATTTGGACCACATTTATTCATTATCTAAATACTAGTATCGAGTGTCATCGTATCAGAGAAATAAGTTGCCCTTCCCTTTTTTGGTGGAATTCTCAGTGGAATGCTGAAAGATTAAAAAAAAAAGTACCTCTTTCCGCCACTTTTGCGACCCGCGCGCGCACACGAACCGACCGACTGGACAAACCAGCGACACGAACACACAAACAAAACAGCAACCCACAGGCGTGAGAATAAATCACANCCGCGCGCGCACACGAACCGACCGACTGGACAAACCAGCGACACGAACACACAAACAAAACAGCAACCCACAGGCGTGAGAATAAATCACAGGGGCCACACGAAAGGAACCAGAGCAGGAACCAGAACACTGAGTCCCCACACACACATATACACATACATATACTGTAAACAGAATATATACACTTACACACTCATTGGGAGGGCCGTCAGGTCACGATAACAGTCCACAACTTACACAGGGCGGAATCGAGGCGATATAGCGGACGCGGCCCCGCAACCGTTCGTTTTTCCTTCCTCAATCTCCGGGCTTCTATTTTTTATTTTTTTTATTTGTTTGCAACCACACCGTTCATTCCTTTGCTTGCTCACTTACTTCCTTTCGTGCCTTCGGTCAAGGCTGGAATTTCCACCTAATTTAACTGGATTTCAACAACACGAAGTCAGCGTCTTCTCGCTCGTTTCCCCCCGTATATATATATTGCATGCCCTCGTGTCTCGTTCTTCCTCCTATCTTTCTTTCTATACTGCACCTCTTTTTCCTCTTACCATCCCCACAAAACCACGCTGTTGCGTTTTTTTTAATCCTCAACACACAGATACAGGGTGTAATTCCAGGGCGAGGAAAAACGGTACTGTGTAACGGCCTGCCAGTCGAACCGACCAACATCACACCATGGCCCGGGGGGAAAAGGACCCTGACATTCAAATAGTGATCCGAGTTCCGGACAAAATTTCGAATACATATAAACCTTCCGACGTTCGGGCTTCATTTGAAGTTCTTAACACAAGTGATTGAAGTTTTATCACTTTAGAGTTGATGCAGAAAACGCTTCTCGAGACCCGAAAAAAGGTTGAAGACTTGTACCACGAAGTAAAAAATATTCGTGAATCGGCAAAAATTGCGGGCTTTTATTTGTCATTTCCTGATTATCAAACTTTGTTGCGTATTTTTTCTGCGAAAAGGTAAATTAGATTTTCTGAGTACTGTACGTGCTTCGGACCACTCATGCATTGAAAAAGCAATGAGATGAAAAATACACGGAAATGGAATATTTTCTAGCGAAGATGCCCAAGATACAGCTTCGTAGAGTCAGTGAAAGATGACTATTTACGCGATCACCACAAAACTCAAAATGATTCATTTTATAAAGTTTAAAAAAACTCGCAAATGGAATATTGTGAAGTGAAAATAGAGCTTAGGACAGTAAGTGCGAGATTACTAGCTTTTTCAGAACGAAACTTTACTCCTATTTTTCTGCAGTTCACCCAAACGAAGGAAACTCACGAGAAACATACGGCAAGCTAATGCCAACGAACACGAACGCAATTGTGCTTCCTAGGAATCTGGGTCCATTTTCGAAAGAAAGAAAAACATTCCACACTCCCGTGAAGCCTTGTTATTTGATTCTGACACATTAAAGGAAATCAGGGCATGACACAGTGAGCTGTGCATCCTTTTAGCAACATACAGTTACTTGACCATGTGCATCGCAGCAGCACAATCTAGGGCTTAAAAGAACAGAACACATCTGAGATTGGGATGAGAAGTATGCATTAATTCGAAATTTAAACGGGGTTTTACCTTAATGAAAGATACCAGCAACTATTAGCACCGTCACAACAAAAAAAAAAATGACGGCGGAACCAGAGATTTTCTTCTTAGTCGAAAACAAAGTTTTCTGGGAGATGGAAAACCCAAGATTGATTTTCGATTCCACTTGGAACGGATTACATTTGCAATTCAAGACCAAATTCCTACATCCAAATTTTCCAAAAAATCCGAGAAATACACGTAGCATACTAAAACTAACATACACTCACTACTGTACCAGAAAGTATTCTTCAGAGGTTGGAAACGCATTTATTTTTCGGAACGACATAAAATCCACATGGAAAAATAACCCTACTCAAAAAATACTTGTCCGCCACTTCTCACATTAAAATAAACTTCGAGATATTTTGATTAAAATTCGTATTCAAACCCATTTAAAACGAATTTAATGATATAACGATGAGTTTTTCTCGGTCCCGACACCTTCGTTAAAATTATATTTTACTGTATTGCATATTGTACATCGAACACAACAACTTAACAACTGCGCATTTTGTTATTATGACAATGCCTTTTTTCAGTTTGAATATGCGGGGAAATGCCAGAGAAATATGTCAGCCTACAACAGATATAACTTAGGTAGCAAAAATATTCGTCATGGAGTTTTTTTCTTTTCTTGAGGAAAAGACTTCCTCACTTTTCTCACATAAGATTGTACTACAGCATTGAAAAAAGTCAATCCCTCAACTCCTTCTTTTACCCGTGTCTCATAGAAGAAATACACCATACACAGTATTTTCATTAAAACAGAAACAATACTGAGTAATCTTCACGAGAAGGTTTCCTTTTTTCCTTATTCGTGGTGAAATGAAGAAGAAATATTCGTATCCTCCTTCACCACGTCTTCAACCCGCGAATTTCGCAGAAGATATAGACCACATTTATTCATCATCTAAATACAAGTATTGAATGTCATCGTATGTATCAGAGAAATAAGTTGCCCTTCCCTTTTTTGGTGGAATTCTCAGTGGAATGCTGAAAGATAAAAAAAAAAAAAGTACCTCTTTCCGCCACTTTTGCGACCCGCGCGCGCACACGAACCGACCGACTGGACAAACCAGCGACACGAACACACAAACAAAACAGCAACCCACAGGCGTGAGAATAAATCACAGGGGCCACACGAAAGGAACCAGAGCAGGAACCAGAACACTGAGTCCCCACACACACATATACACATACATATACTGTAAACAGAATATATACACTTACACACTCATTGGGAGGGCCGTCAGGTCACGATAACAGTCCACAACTTACACAGGGCGGAATCGAGGCGATATAGCGGACGCGGCCCCGCAACCGTTCGTTTTTCCTTCCTCAATCTCCGGGCTTCTATTTTTATTTTTTGTTTTGTTTTATTTTGCAACCACACCGTTCATTCCTTTGCTTGCTCACTTACTTCCTTTCGTGCCTTCGGTCAAGGCTGGAATTTCCACCTAATTTAACTGGATTTCAACAACACGAAGTCAGCGTCTTCTCGCTCGTTTCCCCCCGTATATATATATTGCATGCCCTCGTGTCTCGTTCTTCCTCCTATCTTTCTTTCTATACTGCACCTCTTTTTCCTCTTACCATCCCCGCAAAACCACGCTGTTGCGTTTTTTTTAATCCTCAACACACAGATACAGGGTGTAATTCCAGGGCGAGGAAAAACGGTACTGTGTAACGGCCTGCCAGTCGAACCGACCAACATCACACCATGGCCCGGGGGGAAAAGGACCCTGACATTCAAATAGTAATCCGAGTTCCGGACAAAATTTCGAATACATATAAACCTTCCGACGTTCGGGNACTCCTATTTTTCTGCAGTTCACCCAAACGAAGGAAACCCACAAGAAACATACGGCAAGCTAATGCCAACGAACACGAACCCAATTGTGCTTCCTAGGAATCTGGGTCCATTTTCGAAAGAAAGAAAAACATTCCACACTCCCGTGAAGCCTTGTTATTTGATTCTGACACATGTACACTAATAGAACACTAATTCGTAGTAAATAATTTCATTGCAGAGAACTCAACATAAGATGGGAAGGGAACCCTTTTGGACCAAAATATATTCTTTATGCAGATAATATCGTTTTATAGAGAGTCCACCGGTAGTAAATTTCTGTGACTTCCTTTCCCATGCATCTTTTCTTCCGATGCTCAATATATTCCACGTCTGCTCTTCGGAGCTTTTTCTTCTGATACAAAAGGAAGCCCCTTGAAGAAAGTCACTCAGAATACTCCGAAACACGAGGTGATTAATTAAATCGAGAATGAAGCACCACATAATCCATCCACACACTAGACCCAATTTCATTAGAAACCAGACGTTATACTGAATTTATCAATTTTCTCGAAAAAGAACACGAATCTCCAGATTTCGGTACAACCTGATGAAAGTTTCATGACTTGTATTTTATACAGTATTTACTTCGTGCATCGGAATCACTGGGAACGATTATGCACGCGATCATTGCAAGAATACCAGGGGACTCTGAATTTCAATTGCGATGTCCGCGACTCTTGATGACATAACGCTTTCATTTGCCGACACTTCGGCTCGTTAATGACACAAATCATTCACCATCCATGAAAGTGATGACGGACTTTCATGTTTTCACACACAATCGATAAATGACGTGAGTTTGAGTGAGAAAACGGCACATAAAATTCGATCTACACTTCGGCTCGTTAATGACACAAATCATTCACCATCCATGAAAGTGATGACGGACTTTCATGTTTTCACACACAATCGATAAATGACGTGAGTTTGAGTGAGAAAACGGCACATAAAATTCGATCAACCCAAGTTCAACGATAATCCGATGATTTATCATTTCGCGGTTTCCCCGCCACTAACCAACAATGCATGCTACAATATTCAGGACATACAAAAAAAAAGATAAATGTTGGCGAAATCCTATTGATCGGAGAGCTCGAGAAATAACTTTTTCACGACATGATACCATGTTCCGAATGAACACCGCAATGACTCGACGAATCGCGAGTTTAATCGCACATCTCGTACGACTCTCAAGTGAGTCTTTCTTCCCCTGTAAATCAATCCCTAGAGTCTCTCTGTGAATCACGACACTATGCTCTCTGCACAAGTAGACCCTCTCCAAAACTGGAACACACGTTGGGTCACATAAAAATCGGAAACGACATTCCGATTCGCAGACCGACACAAGCACATACACAC